CGACATCTTGAAAAAATTACTGTTAAGGTACAATTCGAAACAACATTTTGCTAAATCAAGATGTATTTGATCTACAAAAAAAATCTACTAAAAAAATCTAAGCTAACAAGTCTTAAGCCACCCTTCGTAAAAAAAGCGGCTCCTTCTGATACTTTCACTAAAAATGATGTATTTTTAACAAAGAAACCTTAAGCTACAATTCGAAATAAAAGTTGCTCCATATGATAGTTTCAGTAAAATTGATGTCTTTGTGTATGCACATGTCGATTATAAACTAAGTAGCTTTAAGTTACAATTCCAAACAAAAACAGCGCCTTCTGACACTTTTGGTAAAAATGTTGTAATGGATGTACATGTTGACTATAATGCTCTAAACTAAGTAATCCTGAGTTACAATTTGAGTTAAAAACTGCCCCTTCTTGCACTTTCTGTAAAACTGAGGAATTTGATAAACATGTTGACACAGAGGCAAATGGTGCTTTGCACCCATTGCGATAAACGACAAACACAAAATAAAAACATAAAAGGCCAAAAATGAAAATAAAGTAGATCATATAATTTTTCACATGTCTCGATAGAAGTTCATTCCAGGCAAACATGCCAGACACTTCAATTTACCAACAGAAAAAAAACACGAAAAGAAACAAAGCCGACAATTTTTGAGCAGACACAAATTGAGCCAAAAAAATAAGATTTTAATAAAAAAAGGATGAATTTCCACTTTAGAAAACAAAGGACAACAATTGCACTTGCAACTACAATGAAAGTTGATTACAGTACAAAGTACAAAAAAAATCAATGATGTGGCAACTAAGCCAACAGCCTTTGTGCTAAAACCACTTCAACCGAAAAAGAAAATGTTTCCATTTTTTAAAGAAATCTTTCAAATTCCCAATGAAACTAGAGTGAACAGCACTTGCACTTACAATTACATTGAAAATTGATTACAGCACAATTTTGTGGCGACTAAGCCGACCATCTTTGGGCAGTCCCGAGTGAACCAAAAAAAAGATTTTGTGAAAAACTTATTGAAAAATTTTCAAGTCCCCCTCAAAATTAGAATAAACAATGTTTGCATTTGCAACTACAAAGAGTATTGTCTCTAGCAAAAAGGAAAACCAATGTGGCAATTTAGTCGACAAATCCTTAGCAAAAATACGAAACACCAACGTTTCATTTTTCTCAAAATTCCTTTCTCAATTTCCTTTCTCAAGATCCGGCCAAGACTCGAAACACAGACCTTAGGATACAAAGTCAACTGCTTTAACTCCACGACAAGCGGGAAGCAACCTGTTAAGAGAAGGTAAGAAAAGAAGTGAAGAGAAGATATGAAGAGAATTGAAAAAAAAATTGTTCTACTGATTTTGTTAAGCTAATTGTTAACCCGAAAAAAGTCTTTATTCCAGTTTTAAAATGCTTGCTTATTGCAAGCATAATTATGATCTCCAAACTAAGTTGTTTTAAAGTATTCGAATTAAAAACTGTTCCTTTTAGTCGACTAAACTTGATGCATTTGATGCACATGTTAAATAAGAAACTCTAAATTATGCATCCGTAACTTACACATCGAAACAAAAACTGCTCCTTCTGACATTTTCAGTGCAAATGCTGTTTTGATGTACATGCTCATTATGAAACTCTAAACTAACGTTTCTTAAATTATTATTTAAAAAAAAATTACACCATCTAATTTTTTTTTTTTAAATATGTATTTCACGATCATGTGGATTATGAAACTCTAAATTACTCAATCTTAAGTTACAAATTAGAACAAAAAATTGCTGCTTCTGACACTTTCAGTAAAAATGATTTGTTTGTTATAGATGTTGATTATGAAACTCCCTAAACTAAATAAACTTAAACTGCGATTCGAAAAAAAATAGCTCTTTTTGATACTTACATAAAAAGATTTTTTGATGTTCAAGTTGACTTTGGATCGCTAAGCAAAGTAATCGTAAGTTAAAAGTCGAAACAATATTTATTCATTCAATTACTTTCAGTAAAAGTGCTGTATATGATGTAATGTTGATTATGATACTCCAAACTAAGTAATCTTAAGTTACAATTCAAGAAAATTGCTCCTTCTGATACTTTCAGTAACAATGATGTATTTGATTTACATGTTAATTATGAATCTCTAAAATAATTAATCTTAAAAAACAATTTGAAACAAAAATTAGCCGCTTCTGATACTCTCGGTAAATAAGATGTAATTGTTGTACATGTTGATTATGAAACTCTAAATTAAATTAACTTATGCTACGGTTCAAAACGATAAACTAAGTTAACTTATTCTACGATTCAAAACAAAAAAGGCTCCTTCTGATACTTTCATAAAAACTATGAATTTGATGTTCATGATGATTAAGAAAATTTAAAATAATTAATCTTGACGTACGATTCGAAACAAAAGTTGCTCCTTCCAATATTTCATGTTTATGCTGATTTAGAAAACCTAAGCTGTGAAATCTAAGCTGCCATTCAAAAAAACGGCTACTTCTGATACTTTCAGTAAAATTGATGTATTTGTGGTTTATGTTGACTATGAATACCTTAAGTAAGAAATCTTGAGCTACAAATCGAAACAAAAATTGCTCCTTCTGAGAATTTTAGTAAAAATGATGTCTTTGATGTACCTCTTGAGTATAAACTCTAAACTAAGTAACTGTAACTAACAATAAGAAACAAAAACTGCTCCTTCTGACACTTTTAGTAAAATTTATGTATTTGATGTACATGTTGATTATGAAACCTTAACCTAAGTAATCCTAATCTACAATTAAAATTAACAACTGCTCCTTCTGATAATTTCAGTAAGGTTGAGGCATTTGATGTACATGTTGACAAAGAGGCAAAGAGGAGCTTAGCACCACTTGTAATACAACACTAACAAAAAAAACATAAAAAGTCGAAAATGAAAATAAAGTAGATCATATAACTTTTCTCATGTCGCGATAGAAGTTCATTCCAGGCAAACAGAGTTTCAGCATAAGAACAAAATTGACGAAAAGAAACAAAGCCGACACTCTTTGAGCAGACACAAGTTGAGCGGAAAATAATATGATTTTATAAAAAAAAATTGAAGTCCAACTTCAAGCAACAACGGACAAAAGTTGCAGTTGTAACTACAAGGAAAATGATTACAGCTCAAGAAAAGTTAATGATGTGGCAACTGAGCCAATAATTTTGAGCTACCAGCATCTCAACAAAAAAAAATAATTTTTTTATTTATTTTCAAAAAGCTTTCAAGTTCCCCTTGAAACTAGAGTGAACAGCACTTGCACTTGCAGCTACAATAAAAGTTGTTTACACCGCAAGAAAATCAAGGTTGTGGCGACTAAGCCGACCATCTTTCAGCAGACACCAATGGAACCAAAAAAAAGAACTTTGAGACAATTTCATTAAAAAAACCTTTCAAGTCCCCCTTAAAATTATTTTGAACATAATTTGCACTTGCTACTACAAGAAGAATTGTCAACAGCAAAAGAGAAACCGTTGTGGCAAATTAGCCGAAAAATCCTGAACACAAAAAAAGAAAAACCAACATTTCATTTTTCTCGAAATTTCGTTCTTAATTTAATTGATAGTGAAAAGGAAAACAAGAAATGCGCACAACTCGAACCCCCGACCTTATGATACAAAGTCAACTGTTTCGAATCCACACCAAGAAGGAAGCAACCTGGAACATGTTAAGAGAAGGTAAGAAGAGAAATGAAGAGAAGATAAAAAGAGAAGTGAAAAGAATTGATTCAAGAGATTTTCTTAAACTAATTGTTAACCCAAAAAAGTATATTTTCCAGTTTGATGATGCTTGCTTATTGCAAGCGTAATTATGAAACTCTAAGCTAAATAAAACTGAGTTATTCGAAATAAAAACTGCTCCTTCTGATGATTTCATTAAAATTGAGCCATTTGATGTACATGTTATATATGAAACTCTAAATTATGCAACCTTAACTTAAAATCCAAAAAAACCCCCTTCTGACACTTTCAGTAAATATGCTGTATTTGATGTGCATGTTGATTATAAAAGTCTAAGAAAATCTAAACTAAGTAATCTTGCCTTAAAATTCGAAAAAAAAATTGCTGCTTCTGTTACTTTCATAAAAACGATGTTTGTGATGTTCATGTTGATTTTGAAACTCTTAACAAAGTTTTTTCTAAGTTACAAGTCGAAACACTACTTATTATTTGTAATCTTTTCAGTAAATAGGCTCTGTTTGATGTACATGTTGATTACGAAGCTGTAAAATAATTAATCTTAAGTTACAAATTGCTGCTTTTGATACTTTCAGTAAATATGATATATTTGTTACAAATGTTGATTATGGAACTCTAAACCAAGTTAACTTATGCTACGACTCAAAACCAAAATTGCACCTTCTATTACTTTCAGCAAAACGATGTCTTTGATGCTCATGTTGATTATGAAACTTTAAAAGAATTCATTTTAAGTTAAAATTACAAATTGCTGCTTCTGATTCTTTCATAAAAATGATGTTTTTGATATATATGAAACTGTAAGCTAGCTAACTTTAAGTAACAGTTCGAAACAGAACTTGCTCCTTCTGATACTTTCAGCGAGTATGATGTATTTTGATGTATATGATGTATTTGTCCCCCAGAAGTCTCTATGCTTCACGACACCCAATGAATGTGTGCTCAGCCGTGAACTTCTCTTAAAAAGAATGTTCAGGGGGGGGGGGGGGGGGGGGGGGGAGGCGAAGTCACAATCAACCAGTTAAAACAGTCAGCCTAAGCAAAATCAACAAATCTGTCGAAAAACCACCCCCCTTCCAATATCAATAACTTCTGAGGGATAAAGGCATTGGCAAAAAAAACAATTGACAACACTCATAAAAACAAATTAAAATTGGCTAGTATAGTTAGAACCATAGTACATTTGGTAGCCATAACAAAAAACACATCTAGCTGATATTCTAGAAAACTACTACCAAAACGAACGTTTAACGTGTAGTGTGATTGGTTTTGTTTTGCAGACGTGAACCACGTGAACGAAGAAGGCTTCACACCTCTGATGACAGCCTGTGTGCATAACAAGGACAGTGTGATTGTGGATCTGCTGATGGAAAGGGGGGCTGGAACAGACCAGATTAACTCGGCAGGACAGACGGCGCTCCATCTCCTAGCCCAGGCCACTCACATTCCGTCGATGCTGAATGTGAACCTGCTCAAAGGTCTCTTTTTCTGCTAACAACACAACACATAAAAGTGAGATAGCTGCTGTGTGTTATCATCGACGGGTCACCCGCTGTTACCACAATAAACTTGTATCTTCCCTCACATGTTGACACAACACATAAATGTGAGATAGCTGCTGTATGTTATCATCGGCGGGTCACCCGCTGTTGCCACATTACACTTGTATCTTCCCTCACATGTTGACACAACACATAAATGTGAGATAGCTGCTGTATGTTATCATCGGCGGGTCACCCGCTGTTGCCACATTACACTTGTATCTTCCCTCACATGTTGACACAACACAGAAATGTGAGACAGCTGCTGTATGTTATCATCGGCGGGTCACCCGCTGTTACCACAATAAACTTGTATCTTCCCTCACATGTTGACACAACACATAAATGTGAGATAGCTGCTGTATGTTATCATCGGCGGGTCACCCGCTGTTACCACAATACACTTGTATCTTCCCTCACATGTTGACACAACACAAAAATGTGAGATAGCTGCTGTATGTTATCATCGGCGGGTCACCCGCTGTTACCACAATTAACTTGTATCTTCCCTCTTATGTTGACACAAAACATAAATGTGAGATAGCTGCTGTATGTTATCATCGGCGGGTCACCCGCTGTTACCACAATACACTTGTATCTTCCCTCACATGTTGACACAACACAAAAATGTGAGATAGCTGCTGTATGTTATCATCGGCGGGTCACCCGCTGTTACCACAAAAAACTTGTTTCTTCCCTCACATGTTGACACAACACATAAATGTGAGATAGCTGCTGTATGTTATCATCGGCGGGTCACCCGCTGTTACCACAATAAACTTGTATCTTCCCTAACATGTTGACAGAACACATAAATGTGAGATAGCTGCTGTATCTTATCATCGGCGGGTCACCCGCTGTTACCACAATAAACTTGTATCTTCCCTAACATGTTGACACAACACATAAATGTGAGATAGCTGTTGTATGTTATCATCGGCGGGTCACCCGCTGTTACCACAATTAACTTGTATCTTCCCTCTTATGTTGACACAATACATAAATGTGAGATAGCTGCTGTATCTTATCATCGGCGGGTCACCCGCTGTTACCACAATAAACTTGTATCTTCCCTCACATGTTGACCCAACACATAAATGTGAGATAGCTGCTGTATCTTATCATCGGCGGGTCACCCGCTGTTACCACAATACACTTGTATCTTCCCTCACATGTTGACACAACACAAAAATGTGAGATAGCTGCTTTATGTTATCATCGGCGGGTCACCCGCTGTTACCACAATAAACTTGTATCTTCCCTATTATGTTGACAGAACACATAAATGTGAGATAGCTGCTGTATCTTATCATCGACGGGTCACCCGCTGTTACCACAATAAACTTGTATCTTCCCTAACATGTTGACACAACACATAAATGTGAGATAGCTGTTGTATGTTATCATCGGCGGGTCACCCGCTGTTACCACAATTAACTTGTATCTTCCCTCTTATGTTGACACAATACATAAATGTGAGATAGCTGCTGTATCTTATCATCGGCGGGTCACCCGCTGTTACCACAATAAACTTGTATCTTCCCTCACATGTTGACACAACACATAAATGTGAGATAGCTGCTTTATGTTATCATCGGCGGGTCACCCGCTGTTACCACAATAAACTTGTATCTTCCCTATTATGTTGACACAACACATAAATGTGAGATAGCTGCTGTATCTTATCATCGGCGGGTCACCCGCTGTTACCACAAAAAACTTGTATCTTCCCTAACATGTTGACACAACACATAAATGTGAGATAGCTGTTGTATGTTATCATCGGCGGGTCACCCGCTGTTACCACAATTAACTTGTATCTTCCCTCTTATGTTGACACAATACATAAATGTGAGATAGCTGCTGTATCTTATCATCGGCGGATCACCCGCTGTTACCACAATAAACTTGTATCTTCCCTCACATGTTGACACAACACATAAATGTGAGATAGCTGCTGTATCTTATCATCGGCGGGTCACCCGCTGTTGCCACAATAAACTTGTATTTTCCCTAACATGTTGACACAACACATAAATGTGAGATAGCTGTTTTATGTAATCATCGGCGGGTCACCCGCTGTTACCACAAAAAACTTGTATCTTCCCTCACATGTTGACACAACACATAAATGTGAGATAGCTGCTGTATGTTATCATCGGCGGGTCACCCGCTGTTGCCACATTACACTTGTATCTTCCCTCACATGTTGACACAACACATAAATGTGAGATAGCTGCTGTATGTTATCATCGGCGGGTCACCCGCTGTTACCACAATACACTTGTATCTTCCCTCACATGTTGACACAACACAAAAATGTGAGATAGCTGCTGTATGTTATCATCGGCGGGTCACCGGCTGTTACCACAAAAAACTTGTATCTTCCCTATTATGTTGACACAACACATAAATGTGAGATAGCTGCTGTATCTTATCATTGGCGGGTCACCCGCTGTTACCGCAATAAACTTGTATCTTCCCTCACATGTTGACACAACACATAAATGTGAGATAGCTGCTGTATGTTATCATCGGCGGGTCACCCGCTGTTGCCACATTACACTTGTATCTTCCCTCACATGTTGACACAACACAGAAATGTGAGACAGCTGCTGTATGTTATCATCGGCGGGTCACCCGCTGTTACCACAATAAACTTGTATCTTCCCTCACATGTTGACACAACACATAAATGTGAGATAGCTGCTGTATGTTATCATCGGCGGGTCACCCGCTGTTGCCACATTACACTTGTATCTTCCCTCACATGTTGACACAACACAGAAATGTGAGACAGCTGCTGTATGTTATCATCGGCGGGTCACCCGCTGTTACCACAATAAACTTGTATCTTCCCTCACATGTTGACACAACACATAAATGTGAGATAGCTGCTGTATGTTATCATCGGCGGGTCACCCGCTGTTACCACAAAAAACTTGTTTCTTCCCTCACATGTTGACACAACACATAAATGTGAGATAGCTGCTGTATGTTATCATCGGCGGGTCACCCGCTGTTGCCACATTACACTTGTATCTTCCCTCACATGTTGACACAACACATAAATGTGAGATAGCTGCTGTATGTTATCATCGGCGGGTCACCCGCTGTTGCCACATTACACTTGTATCTTCCCTCACATGTTGACACAACACATAAATGTGAGACAGCTGCTGTATGTTATCATCGGCGGGTCACCCGCTGTTACCACAATAAACTTGTATCTTCCCTCACATGTTGACACAACACATAAATGTGAGATAGCTGCTGTATGTTATCATCGGCGGGTCACCCGCTGTTACCACAATACACTTGTATCTTCCCTCACATGTTGACACAACACAAAAATGTGAGATAGCTGCTGTATGTTATCATCGGCGGGTCACCGGCTGTTACCACAAAAAACTTGTATCTTTCCTATTATGTTGACACAACACATAAATGTGAGATAGCTGCTGTATGTTATCATCGGCGGGTCACCCGCTGTTGCCACATTACACTTGTATCTTCCCTCACATGTTGACACAACACAGAAATGTGAGACAGCTGCTGTATGTTATCATCGGCGGGTCACCCGCTGTTACCACAATAAACTTGTATCTTCCCTCACATGTTGACACAACACATAAATGTGAGATAGCTGCTGTATGTTATCATCGGCGGGTCACCCGCTGTTACCACAATACACTTGTATCTTCCCTCACATGTTGACACAACACAAAAATGTGAGATAGCTGCTATATGTTATCATCGGCGGGTCACCGGCTGTTACCACAAAAAACTTGTATCTTCCCTATTATGTTGACACAACACATAAATGTGAGATAGCTGCTGTATCTTATCATTGGCGGGTCACCCGCTGTTACCGCAATAAACTTGTATCTTCCCTAACATGTTGACACAACACATAAATGTGAGATAGCTGTTGTATGTTATCATCGGCGGGTCACCCGCTGTTACCACAATTAACTTGTATCTTCCCTCTTATGTTGACACAAAACATAAATGTGAGATAGCTGCTGTATGTTATCATCGGCGGGTCAGCCGCTGTTACCACAATAAACTTGTATCTTCCCTCTTATGTTGACACAAAACATAAATGTGAGATAGCTGCTGTATGTTATCATCGGCGGGTCAGCCGCTGTTACCACAATAAACTTGTATCCTCCCTATTATGTTGACACAACACAAAAATGTGAGATAGCTGCTGTATGTTATCATCGGCGGGTCACCGGCTGTTACCACAAAAAACTTGTATCTTCCCTATTATGTTGACACAACACATAAATGTGAGATAGCTGCTGTATCTTATCATTGGCGGGTCACCCGCTGTTACCGCAATAAACTTGTATCTTCCCTAACATGTTGACACAACACATAAATGTGAGATAGCTGTTGTATGTTATCATCGGCGGGTCACCCGCTATTACCGCAATAAACTTGTATCTTCCCTAACATGTTGACACAACACATAAATGTGAGATAGCTGTTGTATGTTATCATCGGCGGGTCACCCGCTGTTACCACAATTAACTTGTATCTTCCCTCTTATGTTGACACAAAACATAAATGTGAGATAGCTGCTGTATGTTATCATCGGCGGGTCACCCGCTGTTACCACAATACACTTGTATCTTCCCTCACATGTTGAGACAACACAAAAATGTGAGATAGCTGCTGTATGTTATCATCGGCGGGTCACCGGCTGTTACCACAAAAAACTTGTATCTTCCCTATTATGTTGACACAACACATAAATGTGAGATAGCTGCTGTATGTTATCATCGGCGGGTCACCCGCTGTTGCCACATTACACTTGTATCTTCCCTCACATGTTGACACAACACAGAAATGTGAGACAGCTGCTGTATGTTATCATCGGCGGGTCACCCGCTGTTACCACAATAAACTTGTTTCTTCCCTCACATGTT